AAACTGGGAATGTTTGCCCCTGAAGAAGAAAGGTCCACCTTTCGAATGCACTCGGGTTATAGGGTTTTTAGTAATTTCCATTAAATATTTCAAAGTCAGAAACATTTGAGTACAAATTATTCTCCAAACATACACGTACATCCAGACTTTTTTTGAAAATACCACAAAGATTCATGTACACATAATTCATTCAAAGGTACCTATCAACTAAGCCAAGAAAAACTGTTTTTCTGAGTATTGTATGCTATGGTTCACTTCATCTTAGTCATAGTTTAGCACCTAGTGAACAGGTGACTCACTACTAGGTTCAGATAGAGCTATATACATTTTGAGGAACACAGTAAAATGTAGACTGTTGAAAGATGTTCTATAGGCTACAGGAGGTAGTTAAAGTTAGTTATAGGACTTTTAAGTGGTTAAACAGACTTGAATAAAACAGTAATACAATATCTAGTATGTTTTGGTTGATTTGAAAGTTTACACGAAGACAAACTTCTTACTGTGAAGTACAACAAAAACCATTATTCATATATTTCAGTTTAAAAATACCATTTTAAAGAAAGTAAATTTCTGTTATTCTTCCATCCCCAGATAATCTATATATAAAAATATTCAGCAAATTAAAACTCAAAAAAAGGGTAAACATAAGAGAATTTCCGTGCGTCTTGGAACACAAATGATGATAAAAATCCTTATTATATCATAGATGAGTTTGGAGTCAACACATTTTAGGTATAAGCAAGTTGCACACACACACACACACTAATCATGACCCACATTTTAACACCATCACAGTGCATGGTGGTCTGTGGAATGTAGGTCATGTGCACTTATGCTATTATGTCAGCTGAAGCATTACAAGATTTAATAATACAGCATGCATGTTTACCTTAAATATAAATTTATTACATCATGTGGATCAAGTGACTCATGAGGAAAAGTACTAAAAATGTATTTAGTAAATAAATAACATTTAACCTCTAGCTTAACAATACATATCCACTACTTCTTCCCACAATGTCTACTTAAATATTTACTAAGCCAAACTCTATTTATGACACTCTTTATAACAGAGAATTTAACATAAATGTAATACTATCAACACACGTGGCACTAAGAACATCTACATCTTTTACACATGTCATGTTTAATTCCTTTCATATATAAGTGCCAAATAAGGCTTGTCAGCTGTCAAACATACCGAGTTGTATGACATTTCAGTTACTAGTTACTACTCTACAATTTAACTCAGTGACAGGAGTTTGCCTGAACTATTAATCTGACATAAATTCGGTGACGAGGAACCCGCTTTGAGACTGATAATGGCTGGAGATGGTTTGAATGGGTAATGAAGAAA